GTTTGAAACAAATTCAATTTGATTTGAAAATATACAATTTACTCTTGGAACAGCTTAATTTGATTTGAAAAACGCACGTTGATGTAAAAAATGTCAACTTTGTTCCGATAATGTTCAATACATGTTTGAAAAAAAAAAGTTCGTTAATGTATGAAAAAGGTTCAGTAAGAAACGGAAACATTTCAGCATTTATTGACAGAATGTTCAATTTGACTTGGAAAAAAATTTAACTTTATCTGGAAAAATTTCTAGTTAATTTGGCAAATATGACATTTGATAAGGAAAAGCATAATTTGATTTAGAAAAAGTTGAACTTTATCAGGTAAAATTTATTGAGTGAATGTTCAATTTGACTTGGAAAAAAATTTAACTTTGTCTGAAAAAATTTCTAGTTAATTTGGCAAATATGACATTTCATGAGGAAGAGCACAATTTGATTTAGAAAAAGTTGAACTTTATGAGGTAAAATTTCAATTTTTTCTGAAAAAATTGTTCACTTTTATTGAGAGAATGTTCAATTTGACTTGGAAAAAAATTTAACTTTGTCTGGAAAAATTTCTAGTTTATTTGGCAAATATGAAATTTGATGAGGAAAAGTACAATTTGATTTAGAAAAAGTTGAACTTTATCAGGTAAAACTTCAATTTTGTCTGAAAAAATTGTCGTTTAAGAAGAAAATGTAAAATTTGATTCGGGAAATGCGATTTTTATTGAGGAAAAGTTCAAATGTATTTCAGAAAGGTTTGATACTATTCGAAAAACGTTCGATTTGATCTGAAAAAATGCCATTTGATTTAGAAAAAAATATTATTTGGTATGAAAACTTTTTCCCTGCTTGCGATGATATTGAAAATTTATTAATCAATTTTTCGTCTGTTTCAGGTCCGCATCCATTGCTGTGGATCTATTCAATAGGTACGTACGTAAAACTTGTCTTCTAATGTTATTTTACTCGAGTGGATCGGCCAACAAAAGTTAACAAAAGAACTTGAAAGTTCAACTTTGCATTCAACGCTCATGACAGCCATTTACCACTTTGGTTTGCCAAAGAAACGAGACTAGAGTTTTAATCGCCTGAAGCATTCGACATTACCACCCTGGTACCCTTAAAAGATTAAAATTTATTAAGTTAACCATAACACGAAAGCTGCGTAAAAAATATAAACATTTATTATAAATATTGATTTTTTTTAATTAAATGATTCAGGATCACTCTTGTAAAACAAATGTGAATTGAAGTAACTTAAAAGAAATCAGAATAAATGTATAATAAAACTTAAAATTAATTTTTAGGTGAGATTGAAATTGTTGCAAACCAATAATTGGAAAGTGTTTTCTTAAATGCATAATTAATATTTTTAACCAGCTTAACATATCTAAAAATACACGTTATTTTCTTATGCAATATCTTGTAAGAGTAGGTTAAATAGACATAGTAGAATATAAAACTTAAGCCCCTCTCGGTTCTTCTTCTTTGAGGGATGATGTCTTTGTCTTTTCACCTTCCTCATCAGAAGTGGTATTTGATGGTAAAAATGCCTAATATGAGGGGATGAGGGGAAATCGTTGACAACAGGTGAAAAACTGATTTCTGGAGTCGTCCCGACATGACCACATCCTCGTCCCACTTCTGAAGAAGAAGAGAAAAGCCATCATCCCTCTAAGAAGAAGAATCGAATGGGACATTATAAAATGAAATTGTTTTATAGTTTCACTTTTGAATTATTTCTAAGACATTCTCTTCTGGTAGGTACAATGTACAATGCCCGCTTCTGAAAATTCTGGAGTTCGAACCTCCATCCCGTTTCTCTTGCATAATTCCTGGCGGAATCTGAGGACTCCTTACAAATTAGATTCCGCTGCGACATACACGATAAAAATACAGCAACAATGCATTTATAAATTGCTATTATATTATTGCATTATTTCATACCAAGTTTTTTATACGACTGCCAAAATTGTACAATCAGTGAATATCAAGGTAGTGGGCGTTCGAGAAAATTAAAAATTATTGCCGGTAACCCTTTTCCTCATGCGGTTCCCTTTCCTCGATTCAAGAATAAAAACAAATATACAAAAATGTAAATAGACGCAATTAAATTAATTAAACCAATTAATAAATATATATTTCCTTATAGAGCTGATTTTTTATAATAAAATTTATGTGTGATGATTAGTGACCGTTAATCTATCATTATTCAGAAATCGTGAGATGCGGTCTGGTGTGATGTAGGTTTCAGAAAAACATTTTCTTTATTGTGCCAACGTTTCGATCTTTATTGAGATCATCTTCAGGGCCTCATTGTTTACATTTAACAAATACATGTAGGATGTGGAAAAAGGAAATGTTTTGCTAATACTTTCTCTTACATGAGCAGTTCGAGATAATTGTATTGTTGAATAATCGACAAATTTTACTCATTACCATAGTTTTTCTTTTGAATGCAATTAAATGCAATTATAAATATCAAAAATCAAGTCGGGAAAATACTTGTCTGAAACTGAATTAAAAATTAATTCGTACACGAGCGTTCCCCAATTTGCATAGTCTTTTATCAATTAAATCGTTCAAATTTTAAAAGCAAATATCATTATAATTTGATACTTCAAACTTTTGTAAAATGCGGAGGGGGGAGGTAATTGCCTCTTTAAATGCAGTGGGATTACGATGACATTTTGAAAGATTGCCTAATTAACCATTCATGAAACTTACAAACTGTTTTAATTAGTGTTAAACGGATTTTCCCTTAAATTAATGACGTATCGGACAAAAGACAATCAGTTGTAATTACCAGGAAAAAAGTAAATTTACTATTTTTTGACTAAGTGATTTTTTTTCTCGAATTTATAGTCCAAATAATTGGAAAAACTAAAACAATGTCCGGTTTGGCGACGGCTTTCGGTTCGATTGCCGACTAGTATTGCCATGCTAAAAGTCCTGGTTCGAATCCTGGAGTAAACAAGTTTTTTAATTGAAAGAATTAAAAAAGTAATTTATAAACACAAAGTACATTAAGGCAATCGATTATAATCTTCTGTAGGAGGTCGCACTATAAATTTTAAAAGCTAACAGAACTTAAAGATTGTTATTACAAAATAAGTTCAAGGGAAAATACAATAAAGTTCAATTTTATTAAGTGATCATTCACTTTGAATTAGCAAAAATTGAACTTTATCTGAAAAAAAATTAATGTTTGACTTGGAAAATTTGCAATTTGATGAGTACAAGTCCAATTTGATTTAGAAAAATTCAATTTAAAATGGAAAATGTTCGATTTGATCTTTTAAAAAAGATTTAAAATAAGAACTGAAAAAGTGCCATTTGATTAGGAAAAGTTAAAAAAAGGAAAAGAACGTTCAATTTGATTTAGAAATCTCCAATTTGGCGGGAAGAAAGTTGCATTTGGTTTAGAAAATTTTGATTTTTATCTGCATTTACAAGAATTTTCATCTCTCTGTTGCTTCGAATACTCTTCTACCAATACATCTGTCACAATCCACAGCTTTTACATCATCCCAGACAAAACTGATACCCTTGTTATTAGAAGAGGTCCGTATGAATTTCTGATGTCATATATTCCAGATATTCTATTGTATTTTGTGCATTATATAGCCAATTATATAGTCAAATGGCCAACTTCATCGATAATCAGTAGTCTAGGTTTACTGATTGGGCGGTTAACATACCCTTTAAGCTTGCCTTGCCGATGGAAGGCAAGCAGCTGCAACATCATATCCGCCGCAGACAGAAAACGGATGCTTAATCCCAGCAATGCAGTCTTATAGGCGATAGCGGCTGCTAGGTGGGTCTTGCCCACACCTGAGGGACCCAGCAACACTATATTCTCCTGGCGCTCAATAAATGCCAGTCCAGCTCCTGTATCTGGTAACGAGGAACACCGCTTCTTACTGCACTGCAAAATAAGGATGAGTCATCGAACCTGCAAATATTCTTCAACGCATGATTTTTTCGTTCAACATAAACTGCTAAACAAAACGAAGGATATAGGCATTTGATTAGAACATATATGCTACAATCGATTAAATCTGTCACATATCAAGTACTGTGCATCGATAATCGCAAGTGCATATAATTTTTGGGTTGAAACGTTCCTCGTTTTCTTGCAATGGAAACAATTGAAGCAGCAACAAATATACATACTATCAGTCGAATAGTACGAATGTATAATCCGTCCTTACAACGGGAGTCAAATTTTAAAAACATTTTCGATCAACACTTATATTGTTTTATTATTTTTGTTTAGAGTTTAGAGGTTTATTACTAAAGATCAGAGCTATTAGTGAAAATCCACTGAGAAAGACGATAGCTAATCATTTCCGTTAATAACGTTCAATTTATAACTTTATCCTTCCTTAATAAATTGGTTTAAGGGCTGGTTATTATTTAGTAGTATCTCTTTCTTCTGGGGTTCTTCTTTTTTCAACCAAATCTACCTAATTTTGTATGCAGATTAAAATTAGACTTGTGACATTCGATCAATTTTTATTAGGTTGTAATGCTTTAATTTCTGTGCGTCTGATGTGTCCAGGGTAAAGTCAGAAATATTGAATTATTTATAAGATGGAATGTAATCATGATGATTTCTCTTGAGAATCGTCATTCACTAGGTTTCACACTTTTCAACAAGTGGGTGCTTTAGGATGAAACTGCGGCAAAGAGGAATATCAAAGTTATTTGTTCTTCGGTAGTAAAATTTAGCTAGATTAACAATCAACCCTCAGTTTGTCATGAGGCAAAATTTTATTTCTTTTTATACCTGAACAATTTCACCTTTTCAAATTTGAACGATTGAACAATATTTACAACAAAATTATATTCAATGAATAATACAAATCTGCTGAAAATGGCAAAAAGGCGATAAGCCCCAGACAGACCGTACTACAGACAAAAATGATCGGAAACCAATCTTTTTTTAAATTTACAGTACCATATTTTTCCTTCTTTCTTTCTTATATATATTATATATACAATATTTACAAATGAGGAACAACCCCGTTTTCCTTAAAAATCGAAATAGGAGACCCAACAGCCCTAGGTGCCTCTCGTGCATAAGAACCGGCTTTATGCCGGGTCCCATGCCAACTCGCTCCCTATAAGGGGCCAAGGCGTGTACACACTGAGCAGCCATTCCCTCCAAGCGAGACACCTCCGCGTGGTTTGCCCCGAACCGTGTGTCAATCGAATATGGCTGATCCTCAAACGGGTGTGTCCTTGTCCTTGCGCTTCAGATCCTCGGCGGGTCATCTCCCAATCAAGCTCCTGACAAGCCAGAGCTTCTCGGACTTTTGGCTAAAATCAAAGTATTCTATATTATTAAGATTAAAGATAGTTTATCTCAAAATACAGTCATTTTCACCAATAATGAAAAATTAATTTTATGGACTAAAGTCTTATTTTATCATACCTATTATAAAAATAAGGTAATTACTAAAAACCTCCATTAGTGAAAATATTTGTAGTGGATTATTTATTTTAACAAAATGTTTTGTAATGTGGAAATGGAACACAGGTAAGTATTTTAAGATTAGACTTCCAAGGCTTATTAAGGACTTGTCGCGGTTCAACTGACTTATTTTAGGGTTTTTTCTTCTGGTCTACTAGCATTACGTAGATTAACATTGTGACGGGCGAGGGAATTAATAGATAGAGATATCAGCAAAACAAGGATAAACCTCAAATTACATTAACTCCTTCCAGAACCCTCTATTTGCCTGATTAGTTCCAGACCTGCCAGGCGTGAGCCAGGGGACGAAAGTCGGATTAATGTGTGTTATAAATTTTCAAGTATCAAAATCAAATTAAATTTTAAAAGTTTCTGCTTTTTCTCTTTTTACTAAGATGTTTTTAAATAAAGAAAAAATTAAGATAAAAGCTTATTAACACCAGCCATGTTTCTTAATTTCTTGCTGTATGGCTAAACAATTCTTTGGAAATTTAACGCGGTTCACTTTAATTTAATTTCATTAATTATTTATTTAAAAAATTAAGTAAATTTTTGACTTTTTTGTAATAATTTTCTTCTGCCTTGATAAATTGCTTTGCATCGAATAGGTTTGTGTACTCTTGGATTCTTTCTTATCTACCCAGAATTTTTTTTTTTATGCAGATTAAAATATGAATTGGCAAACTAGAGATGTCACTATCTATTTTTTACTGGATGGCATATACGATGTATGAAAATTTGTATTGGCCCGAATGTAATCATGACGATTTCTCTTGAGGATCGGTCATTCACTGGCTTTAACACATTCAACAGGTGCGCGGTGAAATGGATACGGCCGGGAATTGTGGATTGATTACCCTAACGTAAAGCAAAAAGAAGCGAATTTCATCCCATATTTTAATAAATGTACGATCTAACGGATAAAATGAGAAAACGTTTCATTTATTGGAGGAAAACACAATCGGAAAATTGAGAACCAGCCTCAAATGATATTGAATATTCCTATATCAAGGATATAAGGTATAATAAAAAGCTTCTCCTACCTTTAAAAAAAAGAAAGAATTTTCAACATAAATGTAAAGCACAGCAAAAAAAATGCCTTTATAAAAAGCATACATCGCATTATTTAATTTAATATGTAATTTAATCTTTAGGGTCTTTTACTATCAAGGTTTTTATTTGAGTCTAATTAATAATACACTTATAGTTAAAAATATCACATCATGAAATATTTATATTCCACGAGAACATTTGGCTTTACATAAATAAAAAAAGGTTACATAGTTAAAAAGGTGATTAGTGGCCGTTAGTCGATGTTTATTCAGAAATCTTGAGATGCGGTGTGGTGTGATGTAGGTTTCAGAAAAACATTTTCTTTATCGTACCAACGTTTCGATCTTTATTGAGATCATCTTCAGGATCTGGGATTTACAAACATTGTTTAAATTTAACAAAAACATGTAGGATGTGGAAAAAAAGTGAATTTATACAATGCAAAAAAAATATTTTTTGTATTCAATCACAGCACGCAGAAAACAAACACTTTGGTGAGTAGAAATACTTTGATTGAATATAAAAAAATATATTTTTGCATTGTATAAATTCACTTTTTTCCACATCCTATACGTTTTTGTTAAATTTAAACAATGTTTGTAAATCCCAGGCCCTGAAGATGATCTCAATAAAGATCGAAACGTTGGCACGATAAAGAAAATGTTTTTCTGAAACTACATCACACCAGACGATTTCTGAATAATCATAGTTAAAAAGGTTAACTTAACCATCGCTATGTGACCTCTGACCCTAAATGTCAATAAAATTATGTCGTTGGGCCGGTCCGGAAGAAGCTCTCTCGTGTGAAGAGCACTTTCGTTAGGACTTCGGAGGATCTGACTCGTAGAAGATTTTTTTAGAATTTGGGCCAAAGTCCTCGTATGTGCCCGGTATTTAGAAGGAGGTTGGTTGATGTGTCCTACTTAATTAAATGGTGCCTTATAGGGAGCGTGCAGGCATGCCACCCGATATGCACGGTAGTATCTTGGTCCGCTGTTCCTCTCCTTTAGTGTGTCGTGAGAATTGCCTTATCTTACCATAACCGAGCTAATACTTCACATTCACAAAGGATAAATTACGATGTCTTTGATCCCTTTGGATAGAGTCGGCATGTTTATGTCTCTGCTTTGCCAATATTCTTAGATAGTTAAATTCATTAATTTCGTGGTCCGCTTGACCAATTAATATATTACAATTAATTAAGGTTTTTAGTTGAGATAAAAAAGTCAATGGCACGAGCGGGATTCGAACCCACGATCTTCGGTTTGATACGCCACTGCTCTACTAATTGAGCTATCGTGACCTCGATCCACTCGGGCAATAACTTCCCATCTCAAAAGTTGAAGTCAAAAGAAAATTCAAAAGGTGGGGTTGAGATGAGAAGTTATTGCCTGAGTGGATCGAGGTCACGATAGCTCAAGTGGTAGAGCAGCGGCGTATCTAGCCGAAGATCGTTGGTTCGAATCCCGCTCGTGCCATTGACTTTTTTATCTCAACTAAAAACCTTAATTAATTATAATTCTTAGATAGTATTTACGAGAGAATTTTACTCGTAACCTGCCTGCTGAGTGAGATTTCCTTTGCCTTCCTTTTTGAGAGATTTATAAATCTCTTAGCTTGCCTCGTTTCTGGTGAATTTTTCTATTATTTTAGTCTTTCTTTCTTAACCATTTTTAGAGTTTCAACATGTTATGTGCGCCTAGTTGCGGTTCCGGTCCCATGGATGGATACTCCTTCTTCGGTTCATTTCCTTTTATACTTTCATAGTACCCACTTTAAGGTAGTCTTGTGTTTTCCTAGAGCCTTCCTTTAGTGCCTTTATTTTCAAGTAAATTGTCACCTTTCATATTTTTCTTTATTAACTCCTGTACAAAGAGTTGTATTGTATGGACCTCAGTTTGGAAAATGTAGGGAGTCCAAGGGGCTTCCTAGGGTAGAGTTCAGCCCTTTTACCCTCCACCTATTCCTGTTCCATCTTTGATCCATCTGTGTACCATATTAGGGCCGCTTCCTGAAACTTGGATCTACCTTTCTTCCAAAGTTCACTATTATCTAAAAGCACTTGGAAGGGTCTGTACAAGATATTTTCTCTCATTTCGTCAGATACCATTATAGCTCGTTTATTTTAAGTCTCTCCAGAATTTTTTTGTTGTTCCATGTTAGATCTGGCATTACTTCGGTGGATTTTTAACTGACTCAACTTTTGTAGAAAGATTTCCTAAAATAAAGAAAGTACACGTCAAATATTAAATCTAATGTACAATATATAATCTAGTTTATGGCCTTTTACCGTCAGACTTTTTATTTGAGTCTAACTCAAAAACAATTGCCAGTAATGGAAAAAGTTTAATCCATCTCCTTTGCGAAGTAATTTTGTTTTGTTAGTAAATAAAGTAAGGAATCGAATAAACAACAATGCTTCCCCCTTGGCGCCGGGATGTGATCATAATTAGTGGTTTTATGAAAGAGTAAAATACCAATATAGACAAATATCCTGAAATGAATCAACATCATGAAAAATATCATGTAAAACATTCATAATTTATTTTTATAAATGAATAAAATAATTTCCATCTCTACTTTATAGAATTGAAAAATTTAACAGTAAACTTTCGTGTAAATTAGACTTTTACGAATGATAATGCATTTTATATGCTATCTTTATAACTTATTAAATTGATCGTATGGGTTTGTATAAAATTTTATACGAGGTGTAGATATTTTCAGAACCGTCCCTTGAATTGCGTGCATTATCGTTATCCAATAGCATATTTTGTACGATAAATTAATTCTTAAACTGATAACGATTAAAATGGGCTTTGATAAAGCCCTTGAATTAGCCCATATCAATGAACGAATGAACGAACGGCCTAAACATTACGATCCTAAAAGCCTTCTACGTTAATTGGTAAAAACTTTCAGCAAATTATAAACAAACATTTGGTGTATAAAACAGACTAATCGTTAAACATTTTTGCTCAGATCGAGGTCAAAATGTTAATTTTGAATGTCAAATTTGAGATAATAAATAATAATAATACCAGATATTGATGTGTTCATAAAAATACAAAATTATGATCTGATAAATAGAGATATGCTATTAAAAATTAAGATAGACAGTTAAAATGAATGAACAACAAAATTATATTTATAATAGGGAAAGAAGCTCTCGCATATCAAGGTGTGGCTTTATGGATAGGTGGCCCTCGGAAGACCTGACTCATAGAAGGGTCATGGCAGGAGTGTTCGGACCCGGAACCAAATACTCAGAACCCATGGGAAAGCACACCAGTATCTTCCAAGCTGAGATTCACGCAATTGAAAGATGTATCCAATTCAATCTAAATAGAGGATACAAAAACAAGAATATAGCTATCATGTCAAAGAACCAAGCAGCCATCAAAGCACTAAGCTCAAATACCATTAGTTCAAGGATGGTGCTGAACTGCAAAATCAAATTAAACATATTAGGTACGCAGAATAAAGTCAGCCTCTGCTGGGTCCCAGGACAGATGGGAGTAGAAGGCAACGAGAAAGCGGACACCCTTGCAAGAAAAGGGGCTGCCACACCGCTAATAGGACCCGAACCCTTCTGTGTAATAGGAATACACACTATTAACGAATGCCTCAGACAGAAGGACAAAAAGAAAATGAGCGAACTTTGGAATTCACTTATTGGACATAGACAATCCAAGAATCTTCTAACCAATTTTGGCATGAAAGAAATCACAGAATGTGTCAAAGGAAGCAGGAATAGACTGCGAATCCTAACAGGATTCCTGACAGGACACTG